ATCTAGTTGTCCACACCTCTCCGAGATAGTATCTAGTTGTCCACCCCTCTTCAAAGTAGTATCTAGTTGCCCACCCCTCTTCAAAGTAGTATTTAGTTGACCACCCCTCTCTGAGGTAGTATCTGGTTGACCACCCCTCTCCGAGTTAGTGTTCAGTTGACCATCCTCTCTACGGTAGTATCCAGTTGTCCACCCATTTCTGAGGTAGTATCTAGTTGTGCACCCCTCTCTGAGGTAGTATCTAATTGTCCACCCGTCTCTGAGGTAGTATCTAGTTAGTTGTCCACCCCTCTCTGAGGTAGTATTTGGTTGACCACCCATCTCTGAGGTAGTATTTGGTTGACCGCCCCTCTCTGAGGTAGTATTTGGTTGACCTCCCCTCTCTGAGGTAGTATTTAGTTGACCACCCCTCTCTGAGGTAGTATTTGGTTGACCTCCCCTCTCTGAGGTAGTATCTGGTTGACCACCCTCTCTGAGATTGTATTTGGTTGACCTCCCCTCTCTGAGGTAGTATCTGGTTGACCACCGCTCTCTGATGTAGTATTTGGTTGACCTCCCTTCTCTGATGTAGTATCTGGTTGACCTCCCCTCTCTGAGGTAGTATTAGGTTGACCACCTCTCTCTGAGGTAGTATCTGAATGACCTCCCCTCTCTGATGTAGTATTAGGTTGACCACCTCTCTCTGAGGTAGTGTCTGGTTGTCCATCCCTCTCTGAGGTAGTATTTGGTTGACCACTCCTCTCTGAAGTAGTATTTGGTTGACCTCCCCTCTCTGAGGTAGTATCTGGTTGACCACCCCTCTCTGAGGTAGTATCTGGTTGACCACCGCTCTCTGAGGTAGTATCTGGTTGACCACCCCTTTCTGAGATAGTATTTGGTTGACCTCCCCTCTCTGAGGTAGTATCTGGTTGACCACCGCTCTCTGAGGTATTATCTGGTTTACCACCCCTCTCCGAGGTAGTATCTGGTTGACCACCCCTCCCCGAGGTAGTATTCTCTGTCCAACGATGGACAGAGAAAACAATCGAACTGAATGGCATTAATAATTCACTCAACGTCAAGCAGTTCATGGTGGCCATCTTGTCACCATCTTGGTCCGAATTCAGGCACCGAAATGTGAAACTAAAGGATTATTGAACGAGGACGTCCAAGAGAAACCATAAAACGAACGGTAATGAGAGAAGCCAAAGGTGCTGGACTGGATACCCTCCATGATATAGAAGTGATTGCGCGGGATATGACAGAATTTAGAAACAGACTGCATGCCCTATGTGATATATAATGGCAAAAAAGGACAGTGAATGAATAGGCTGCTAAATACACTGGTTCGTTAGAAAAGATGTTACGTCAGTCCTGGCGCTTTCCCAGCCGCTGAACATCAGCGTCATAGGAGCTGATTTTTTTATTGTTTTATCGATCGCCTTGTCTTATTTTAAGTAGTCTGTCATCGATTGTTGCCACTATGTCATCCTTATCCGTGCTCGGTGCCCGCGCTACGGGTGTTTTTGATAGCAACACATCTGCTCTTAGTAAAGGGATCAGGTAGCCAGTTCTTAATAGCACTTATGAAATACTCTCTTCTCTAATGGTATTTGCCATTAGATATATTCCGAAATAAGACGATTCAACAAGGCCTAGGTTCAAGGACACAATTAAACACCGCACAAACACAATTAGGGGGCTGCGTGGTCTCAAGGTATAGTGGCCGCCTCGAGTGCTAGAGGTTCCGGGTTTAAGTCCGGTGAAGGCGGGGATTTTTTTTTCTGTTTAAGTGGACTTTTTTTAATTTTCCCTGATCTCTGGGTAGTGAGATCGGACGTCCGTGTGTATTTTTGCTCATGTGAAAAATCCCTTGGCAGTTGAAAACCGAAAAGAGTAGACTAACAGCGCTGCCCGGGCAAAATTTAGAGTTAAAAATCTACCCAAAATATTTCAGGATCCTCGCCGGTCTTACGGAGCCCGTGCACTGCTGTGAGCAACTTCGGACTCACCCTTGTGTTAGAAGTAGAACGGAGCACTTATGGGTTACATTATGTTGATCCGGTTTTTAAACCCCAAACAGCCTCAATGAATTAATTAAACAACGCACATTTTCAAAGACACTGTTAAACAACGCACATTTTCAAAGACAGTGTTAAATTACGAACACTCTCAAGGACACTGTTAAAGAACTCACATTCTCAAAGACACTGTTAAACAACGTACACTCTCAAGGACACTGTTAAACAACGCACATTCTCAAGGACACTGTTAAACAACACACATTCTCAAGGACACTGTTAAACAACGCACATTCTCAAGGACACTGTTTAACAACGCACATTCTCAAGGACACTGTTAAACAACACACATTCTCAAAGACACTGTTAAACAACGCACATTCTCAAGGACACTGTTTAACAACGCACATTCTCAAGGACACTGTTTAACAACGCACATTCTCAAGGACACTGTTAAACAACGCACATTCTCAACGACACTGTTAAACAACGCACACTCTCAAGGACACTATTAAACAACGAACATTCTTAAGGACACTGTTAAACAACGAACATTCTCAAGGACACTGTTAAACAACGCACATTCTCAACGACACTGTTAAACAACGCACACTCTCAAGGACACTGTTAAACAACGAACATTCTCAAGGACACTATTAAACAACGAACACTCTCAAGGACACTGTTAAACAACGCACATTCTCAACGACACTGTTAAACAATGCACATCCTCCAGGTTACAAATACATGAACTGTTTGGCATTGAATGAATTATTAATGCCATTCAGTTCGATTGTTTTATTTGTCCATCGTTTTTATACAAAAATGCAATTAGAAGAGATTTTCGAAATCAGAGAATCCATCAAATAGAAAAAAAAAAAAAAATAAATAAATAACACAAACTATACTCAAGAACTGACCAGCCATCTGAAATGGTTTGACCTTTAAAAGAAGATAGATCCAATGATTCCAGCAACGAGAGCGTACACCATGAATGTAGAAACACCAAGAGGTAGGGGACAAGTTGGATTGAAGCAGTCGCTGATACCTTGGGACTCCAAGACATCACAGTATACTGGCCCCAGTCTAACGTGCCCTAGCTCGGATAGCGATCATCTGTTAACCTAAAACGCCCAGCGGCATAAACAAGAATATGGACAACAGAAAGAAGAAAGAAAGAATCGTTAGATTTTTAATAATCTTACTCAGTTGCCAATGAAAAGTATACTACAGCAAGCTATGAGACGCAGACCAAGTGAACATCGCCAAGGAGGTCGACGACGCAAGCAATGGACACAGGTGATAACAGTCTTAGGATCTCACCCCACACCAAGTCTCAAACGACTGGATCTTTTACCCTCTTCGGGCTGCTACATGCGTTTGACCTCACTGAGACCTCAATCTCAATCTAGATAACAAGCCAACAGGGCAAGCCCCAAACTATCCCGTTCAACCTTCAAAGAAAACATGATCGAACACCCCTAAGGTCGACACTTGCCTGCTGTCACGTTTAGTCCTGTGCGTGTAAAGATGATTGTTTAATATACGGGGACTGCATGGTCTCGAGGCATGGTGTCCGTCTCGAGTGCTAGAGGTACGGGGTTCAATCCCCGGGATTGGCTGGGATTTTTTCACGTGGACTTGAACTTCTAGTAATTCCCCCTGGTCTCTGGGTAGTGAAATCGGACGCCCGTGTGCATTGTTGGGCTTGTAAAAAAATCCTTTGGCAGTTGGAAATCGAAAAGAGTAGCCTAACGGCGCTGCGGGGCAAAATTTGGAGTTAAAAATCTACCCAAAGTATTTCAGGGTCCTCGCCGGCGCTACAGAACCTGTGCACTATGCTGAGCTTCTTCGGTCTCAGACTTGAGTTAGATGAAGAACGGAGCACTTATGAGTTACTACCCTGTGCTATGATGGTGATCCGTTGTTCAAATTTCAAACTTTAAACTATAACGGGATGGAGGTGGATTTTTTTTTGGGGGGGGGGGAAGGGGAGGCATACAGGGGGGGGGGGGGGGGGGGGGGGGAGTAGAGAGAAGAGACAGGGATGGGGGGTTGTCTTTAGCAGTTGACATTTCCCCTCAACAGGAAATATACAAGAGGATGACGATAAAATAAATCGACTCTATTCATGTTAATTTAATAATTATTTTCAGATGTGCATCCCGCATCAGACCATAAGCTCTCAACAAATTCTCGCCAAGTCGTAATGTGTTTTGCTTTTCCATGCAGCTGGTCCCACGTCCTTCCCGCCTTCTTAACTACTCTGTAGCTCCTTCTCAGTGTTTTTAGTCTGCTTTTATTCCTTTGACACCGTGGCTTCCGATGTAAAAACATTCTAGTTATATTTTCTTAACGTGTGTCCTATCCAGTGCCGGCTTTTCCCCCCTCAGCTTTTGATTCACTGTAGTTTGATAAGGTTTTTCCCAAATATTAACGTTAGGGATTTATTCATACAATTTAACTCCCTATATTCATTCTTAACAGCAGAGCTATTCATCTGATGGCCAGCGGGCAACATCTGGTCCGCAGAGGCCTGGCAAGTGACACACGGATCACCTGTCAAATGTATTGAACTAATGATCTTCCTACGCTAGGGCCTAGGCCTCTGGTCCGTAACGATTCCCAGTTTCCAACATTTTGGCCCTAGAGTCAGTTTAGTTGAATGACCCTGCTTTACAAGAACCAGATAGTGAATGTTTGTGGTTCATTAGTAATTATTTTATGTTATCAAAATGGACAGCATTGCACATTGGGTATTCCCATCCGCACTCCGTCCGTATGGCACTTCTACTGCTTGTTCCCATGAGGTGATGATTGCAGTGTCTCTTATCTTGACTTCCAAGTCGGTTACGATATGCTTCACCATGCTTTACGCCCAGGTCATGTAAACGTATTTATCAGCATTTCAGTTATTGTTTTAGTTGTGTGTTTTTTTTTTTCCCTATTGTAGGGGAATGATGCCCGGGAGATAGCCAGCCTCATCAAGTTGAGTATGAGAGTGGGAGAGCTCATCCACAACATGCAAGTGGAGAGAGGGTACACAGCCTTGCACATCATCTCCACTAGTGACCCGTCCAAGTCCCAGCTGGGAGGGGAGACCAGGTTGCTGGCGAAAGACAGCTTTGAGTGAGTTGTCGCTTTTGTTTGTTTGTTGATTCTTGTAGTTTTCTTGAAACTCCTGCAGCTCTTCTAAGCCATTTCATCTCTGTTGTCATAATTTTACTTCATTAGAGGATGTAAGTGTCCACATCTGGCACTGATAGCATAGTGTTGGCCAAAAAATAGTTCTGATAAAATTCCCTTTAGTACTCCGGGGATATCTGCTTGTGTGTCAATAGGGAAGATAGTTGCCCCATTACTTGATTAGCTTTGGCGCATCTCAAGCTAATTGTCTGTCCAGTTTTCCATCTGTTTGTCTTAAGGTGTTGTTTTTCATGATATTTCCAAATTGCCTTTCTATCTTCCTACCACTATTTTCTCTGTCTTTGTTGTGTTCATTTTCATATCATGTTCCTCCTCTTTGTTAATAATTTGATTTAAGTGGTACTGTAGGCATTCCGTACTTTCTGCTATGAGTAGTTGGTCGTCAGCGAAAAGTAATTCTGTAATATCTTTCATTACATATGGTATTTATGGAGGTTATAAAAGGAAGTGTCGATAGTACACAGCCCTGGCGCAGAGTTAACTATAAAAGTTCTTGACAATCCTGCCTTCAATCTTATACGTGTGTACAGGCTTTTGCAAATAATAATGAGATGATTGCTGATTCCCTTGTCCCCCCAATACATTCACACAACATATTGCTGTCGATTCTATCAAAGGCTTTTTCTTGGTCTATAAATGCCAACAACCATGTCTTTTCGTGTTCTATTGCTCTTTCTTATAGTTGTATCAATGCATAAATGGCATCTGTGCAACTTCTGTTTCCTCAAAAGCCCATCTGTGCTTCTGAAAGTTAATACTCTATTATTGGTCTTAGCTGCTTTTCAATGATTTAAGAATACATCTTCCCAGTGTGACTGAGAAGCGATATTCCTTTTTAATTAGTACAGTCCTTCTTACTTCCTTTATTTTTCCATAGTGTGACGATGACAACAGTTTGCCATTCTGATGGTGTATGCCACCTGAAAGATTCTCTTTAACCATGTTGCCCCCGCTTCTCCTGCTGCTTGATGGTCCTTATTTTGACATATCAAATTTCTTTTCAGCTGCCAGGCGATTTGGCAGCCGATCGCTTTGCGTAGATTTAGTCAACTGAGTGAATGGCCGTTTAGAAACCACACTACAAAGCATAAATTACCCATTAACACACTAAACCGCCGACAAATTATGGGTATGGGTTTTGCAATTTCACTTAGAGCACACAAGAAGCCGCCGTGGAGTAGCAGCTAGACGCTCGCCTTAGCCCTAAGGTCGTGGGTTTAGAGGCGCATTGGTTTCAAAAATGATCTTAACTCCGAGGTCTAAAATGGGTACCAGGTAACGTCATGGGAAGTAAACGCAATAGTATAATGTGGACCACCAACTGAGTACCGTTTGGTTTATAAAATAACACTATATACGCAATCCGCCTAAAGATGTGTTAAAAAAAAAAGAAGATATCCAACTTCTTCTTATTGTCCATGCCGTGTGGTGTCGGTAGACATGTGATATCCACAACCTTCTGTACCGTATACTTTCAGCCATTTCTGACACCGATGCTCTTCCATGCTATGATGTCAAACTTCAGCATCTTCTCTCTTGGTCTCCTTCTGTCTCCAATCTTCCCTCTACCACGATGTCCTCCGATTTTATCCTTCTCATGACATGACCAAAGAATGTAGATTGTCTCCTTCTGGTGTAGGCAATCAGTCCTCTTCGTGAGTTAGTCTCTTTTAAGACATCTTCATTTCTCTTTTTATCCGGCCAGGGAGTTCTTATCGTTCATCAGTCCAACTAACTAACTGTAAAGGTAAAAAGGTAAAGTCGGGAGATGTGAACCAGCGTCATTGCACCGGGTTATAAACCATTAGTGCTCTGCCACCAGTATGAACAGCTGATAAGAAACTTGCCGATTGTATCGTAGTCCACACGTAACTCCATAGCTACAGCGACGTTCCCCCATTTACCTCAGAGTGTTAATTCTGGTACCCATTATCTAGAGGCTGGGTGAACCCCGAGAATAGCCCGGTTTCGAACACCGACCGTGGGCTGCAGTGAGTAGCAGCTGGATTTGAAAGCGAGTTTCCTATCGACTGCGCTAACGCGGCCCTATTTGACTATCTGTCATACTGTAAACTGCTTTGCTTGTATTAACAGCCGAACCGACGTCCAGATAGACGCTTTAAGGAAGACATGGCCATTGCAGGATTCAGGTGGAAAGTTCAATGATTTCAAGGAGTTCAAGAGGTTGTTGGAGGAGTATCGGAACTCTCTGTTGTTTTCTCCAGACAAACAGAGAACTGTCAGACAAGAGATGATGTTTTATATTGAAATCATCGAGGAACTGATCAAATGGTTGTATAGGTAAGTCCTCGTCTTAAATTTTCTTTTCTTTCTTCTTTTTCTCTATTTTTTTTCTTTCTTATTCTTTCTTCCTCCTGTTTTTTCTTCCTCCTTCATCCATCTATTTCCTCCTTCGATTCCTTCCTCCCCTTCTTCTTCCTTCGTTATTCTTTTCCCTACTTCTCACCCCCCTCCGTCTTTGTCAACTTCCTTCCAACTCTTCCTCCTTTACGGTATCCTTCTTCTTCTTTTTCTTCTTCTTCTTCTTCTTCTTCTTCTTCTTCTTCTTCTTCTTCTTCTTCTTCTTCTTCTTCTTCTTCTTCTTCTTCTTCTTCTTCTTCTTCTTTCTTCTTTTCTTTTTTCTTCTTCTCTTCTTCTTCTTCTTCTTCTTCTTCTTCTTCTTCTTCTTCTTCTTCTTCTTCTTCTTCTTCTTCTTCTTCTTCTTCTTCTTCTTCTTCTTCTTCTTCTTCTTCTTCTTCTTCTTCTTCTTCTTCTTCTTCTTCTTCTTCTTCTTCCTCTTCTTCTTCTTCTTCGAATTATTATTATTATTATTATTATTATTATTATTATTATTATAACAGTAACTGTAATCCTAATAGAAGTATAAACGACAGCAGTAATAATAGTACAATTTCTAGTAGTAGTAATCGTAATATTACTTTAAATAGTAATAGTAGCAGTCGTTGTTGTATTATTAGTAGGCATAGCAGCTGCTGCGGTTTTTCCATTGCAATATTTCTGCTAGTAAAATAATTGCAGTCATAAAAACAGTTTAGGGAAACAAATCATTTCAGGCTGCTAAGGAATATAATTGTAGGTAAAGAGGGGATAATAAGAAAACCTCATGTATTTTACTTAATCTTTGTCTATGTGTTCTGTTCTCTGCAGAGCTATCAAGTTCACACAGGAAGGTGATGAATGGAGACAACTGGTGGCCTATCAGCTCTTAATAACAAGTAAAAATGATATAGGTGAGTCTGTGCCAAATGTCAGTTGTGATTTTGGTGATTGTCCGAATAATGTTCGAGTGTCTAGGAATACATGATATTTAGAGGCATGCTTGATTCACGTACTAGTAAGACGTTGGAACTTCAATAACGTATTTTATTCATCAAGCCATACAACAAAAGTAACGACAATATGTTCAATAACAATGAAGGAAATGCTGATAACGCTCACAATCACAACAAACTACTCGAGCGATAGCTTATCGAACATTATTAAAATAAGTCACTGCTCACATTCCATTAACTGGATTGGAATATCCTGAAGGATAATCCGGAGCGAAGTTCGAATAATGTTATCAATCTCCACAACTTAGAGCGGTTAACTAGCGATGTTACTCAAAGCGACGCAATCATAACTCATTGGAAACATCTTCAAAACAAACCGGCACAAAGTCAGAGCTGTCTGTCAATCTCCACAACCTGGAGATGATAACGTGGATCCACACCTCACGACACAAGCAGGTCTCTCCTTTTTTTTACATCCCGCTCTCTCTGAGCCGTTTCTGTTCTTTACCATATCTGCAAATCATTTTGCAATGCTGAACGGCGGGCAAACGCAAACGCTCAGTGCCGTTTTCGGGAACTGCAAGTACTGCCACCTTCCCCAAATGTCAGCTAGTACTTTAAGCTCCGGCTCCTTTACTTAATATACCTTAAAGAGCCCAGCCTTAACACACAGGTACGGGACAAACTGAAAATCCCAGCTAACAAACTACTATGGAGAGCTAGGTTAGGGTGGCATCCAGAGAAATTTACATCTCCTCTATGTCTGGACTGCTTTCAAGATAATACAATAGAGCATTATATAATAAACTGCACTAAATATAAATTGGAGAGGAAACCCATTGAGGAGTATTTTCTAAAACGCAAACAACAAATTACTGCAAACAAATGTTTAAAGGTAGATAGCAATAGAGACATCCAAAAACTGGTTAAACAATACCTTTTTAAAAGAAACCCAAACTAAAAAGACCAGATTAAGGATCTACTCAGTACAACAGAAGGAGCTGATCAGATGGTAACACCGCACACCCAAGCGTCAGAGCGGTAGTGTAAGTATGATGAGTGCATATATGTGAACTTGGATACATACACAAGGATGAGTGAGTGTAGTATGAGTGCATTTATGGATACAGAAGACACAGTGTATGTAGATGGATGGTAAGGGATCACGTATGGATAGGACAGTGGGAATATAGCTGGGCGAAAGGTACAGATGAATGAGTACATGGATATAAAAATGTATTACTATATGCATATATATGTGGGTATGAGTGTGCATGTGTATGTATATATATATATATATATATATATATATATATATATATATATATATATATATATGGGATCGTGATATTTGTGTGTATGAATGACAGTGCACTCAAAGAACCGACAAATTGTGTTGCTGCATGTCTGTTAATTAATGAGAACATGGAATGAGGTGTGTACGCAGCAAGAATGTCATCAACACATACCATCTACCAAAACATGGTAAGACAGTACCGGGCAGGTCACATACAAGTAACGAGACATAACTTAAAAGTAACACGACCAGACGACACTACAGACATAGCGATACAAAACACACAAGACATGGAAGAGTGAATGTCACTACGTGTAGATGTGCTCGCATATAAAAGAGCTTGCGTGTGTACATAATGTCAATTAGGTATGCATACATGGATAAGTATGAAAGGACGTGCAAATAAGTAGTGTTGTCTACGTGTATGGGTACTCGAGTGCATGTACGCATACACCTAGTTGGGTGCGTCCATGTACTCCGGGGTTTCATACACAAAACCATACCATTCAACAGCATGCATACAACATGCACATGACCGACAGGACTCACAACAAGATACGACTGACAGCAAAAACTGTTTTTAGTACTTTTTGGCAAAATAAAATACTCAGAATTTTAAAACAATTATTGGCGGTCCAAAGGACGTTGTGTATGGAAGCTCGCTCTCCTGCGAGATATGCCTAGCCAGATCAAAGGGAGACAAAACAAACAGGAAAAACCAAGAAAAAAGAAGGAAGACACGCACCAGTGACAACAGGACGAGCGGTTTGATTCGGATGGAAGCATCAAGCTCAGAAATGGCACAAACACTAAAATTCAGTCACGAAAGTGACGCAAATAACCCAGACCACAAATATAGGCGGAGACTGCTAGTAGCCTAGGCTAGCTAGCAGCAGTCTGAACGTGGTCGAGCTTTTCTTTTTTTCTCAAAAGGACTTGGACTAACTTAATATTCATCATAAAACTGAGACATTAATATTCATATTCCAATACCACTCATTTCATCATCGCCCTAACTCTCTTTCTCTCATTATCTATGTGTATGCAAGTGACACACAACAATAGTATTATTGATCAATAAAAAAACTGATAGTCAGGTAAGACAAAAACAATTATATGTTAACTATAAACATTCACTAACACTGCCTGCGTTAGTACATTCAGAATTGAACGGTATAAAACAAAGATTACGTGGAGCTTTTGGGACAACCTTAACAGATTCCAGTATATCAAAAGGTGAGAAAATATGCTGACTTTGGATAGGACACACCTTGTGAAAGCCTGTTGACAGTGCAATTGAGCCCACGGGATAAAAGCAATTAAAGCATACCAAAAACACACGGAGAATAAAAGGAAGAGCGATATGAAGAAACTCCACAGGAGAGCATGTACAGTAGAAGTCTACCAATCATCAGTAGAAGTGATCCCTCGTCCACAACTGTTTCGGCCCACATGATCCTAGACAATTTCAGAGGGTGGGCCCACCTGAGTTCATGAAGCTCAGGCTTGATCTTCTCCTGCTGCACGTATTACCGGATGTTCTCAGACAGGGACAAGACGTAATTGGTGACTATGCAACAGGTACTGTGAGATTCGAAGTTTATTTATAGTCGCTGCGGTAGCATTTAGAGCAGTTAGCATACCTTGACGACTAAGTGGCAAGCTTTCGGTTGGTTTATTTGACACATGTTAGACTTGTCGGCAAATGGCAGAGGGACACTGGCAGACAATTCGGACGCGATGGACTTTTAAGGGATAAGAATCCTTTTCCACTAGATCCAGATCAGCTCACCGAGGCCCCTCTCCCACAACGTTCCGTTGTGTCCAAAGCCAGCTCGAGGCTCTCTCAGCAGCCTCGCCTAGTTGTTTTAGTGCCCGCTTGCGCTCGTTTCCTCAAAAGCCCTATTGCTTTATGACATTGTACATAGAAGTGGAGACAAGACCTCTTGCGCCTACCTCGACGGCGAAGATTCTTACTGTGTACTCTGCGTCCCTCCTCAGATCAGCCGCTGACTTAGTTCAACAAGATGGTGAACGACAAAGGGTGAGCAACATGCGATAGCAAATGATAGATCGACGTGGCGTGAGTTGGGAAAGTTATACGTCTGCGGTTATTCCGGCTAGTTCCCCGCAGATTTCTGGCCTGGGAACCAGAATAGAGATTATATATCAGTGGATAAAACCGAATCACAAGAAAATAACCAGAACAGTTAGTCACGTATCCTTTACAGGACGTTGCAAAACCTATCCCAGTATTTTCTGACTGTTTTTTAAGACAAGTTTTTACGTTCAGTAGTTTGCCACTGCTTCGGTACCCTTGTCGAAACCAACCAAAACGTTCTATTCCAAATTACTCGCAACTGGAATCGAATCCGCCACCCTGGCATTGTGAAGCGCGTGGGCAACGCCTAAGAACACAACATTTAATCAATAATATCAAACTCCATATAACAACATATAACGGCAACATTTATCAGCTATAAGAACTGACAGATAATTAGAGACGTCTAGCGAAGTAATGTTATCTTCAGTGTCGTAACCTTGATTTATTTTCGTAATACGATGTGCGTGTAATGAGACTTGCAGAAAACATGATGAGTCGTGCAGTTGTCTGTAATAATATAACCTGGTTATGTCAGTAAGTTGAGTAGACAATCGACAGCACTCGATAAATGCCCATAAGCGCCCCCCCCCCCCAACTCCAGCAGCCACCCCAGTGCCAATTGCTATGGTAACAATCATTCATTTTATCTGCCTGCCAGTCTGCCTTTTTATCTGTCTGTCTGTCTGTGTGTATGTCTGTTCGTCTGTCTGTATGTACGTCTCCTTCTAACCCTGTTTGTTTTGATCTCTCTGTGGCTGTCTATGTCTGTGTGTCTGCGTTTAGTTGTATGTGTGTCCGCGCTTATCTGTCTGGCTGTCTCCTTACGTCGCTCTCTGTCTGTATCGGTTTCTCTGCCTGTATGTGTTCATGTGTCTGTCTGTGTTTATTTGTCTGTCTGAGCCTTTATTTATCTTTCTGTACCCTTGTTATTGCATACACTCCACAAAGCTGGTGCCTTATTGCAGGTATCGAGAGGACACTGGGCAGCGTGTTCTACCTAACCAGACACTTCGTCCATGAGGATCTGTTGTGGTTTCTCAGCTCCCAGAGCCGCGGGATAGGTAAGTGGGGACTGTTGGTTGTTTGTTTGTTTATACTGAGACCAGAGCCGTGGGATAGGTAAGTGGGGACTGTTGGTTGTTTGTTTGTTTATACTGAGACCAGAGCCGTGGGATAGGTAAGTGGGGACTGCTGGTTGTTTGTTTGTTTATACTGATACCAGAGCCGCGGGATAGGTAAGTGGGGACTGTTGGTTGTTTGTTTGTTTATACTAAGACCAGAGCCGCGGGATAGGTAAGTGGGGACTGTTGGTTGTTTGTTTGTTTATACTAAGACCAGAGCCGTGGGATAGGTAAGTGGGGACTGTTGGTTGTTTGTTTGTTTATACTAAGACCAGAGCCGTGGGATAGGTAAGTGGGGACTGTTGGTTGTTTGTTTGTTTATACTGAGACCAGAGCCGCGGGATAGGTAAGTGGGGACTGTTGGTTGTTTGTTTGTTTATACTGAGACCAGAGCCGTGGGATAGGTAAGTGGGGACTGTTGGTTGTTTGTTTGTTTATACTGAGACCAGAGCCGCGGGATAGGTAAGTGGGGACTGTTGGTTGTTTGTTTGTTTATACTGAGACCAGAGCCGTGGGATAGGTAAGTGGGGACTGCTGGTTGTTTGTTTGTTTATACTGAGACCAGAGCCGTGGGATAGGTAAGTGGGGACTGTTGGTTGTTTGTTTGTTTATACTGAGACCAGAGCCGTGGGATAGGTAAGTGGGGACTGTTGGTTGTTTGTTTGTTTATACTGAGACCAGAGCCGTGGGATAGGTAAGTGGGGACTGCTGGTTGTTTGTTTGTTTATACTGAGACCAGAGCCGTGGGATAGGTAAGTGGGGACTGCTGGTTGTTTGTTTGTTTATACTCAGACCAGAGCCGTGGGATAGGTAAGTGGGGACTGTTGGTTGTTTGTTTGTTTATACTGAGACCAGAGCCGTGGGATAGGTAAGTGGGGACTGTTGGTTGTTTGTTTGTTTATACTGAGACCAGAGCCGTGGGATAGGTAAGTGGGGACTGTTGGTTGTTTGTTTGTTTATACTGAGACCAGAGCCGTGGGATAGGTAAGTGGGGACTGCTGGTTGTTTGTTTGTTTATACTGAGACCAGAGCCGTGGGATAGGTAAGTGGGGACTGTTGGTTGTTTGTTTGTTTATACTGAGACCAGAGCCGCGGGATAGGTAAGTGGGGACTGTTGGTTGTTTGTTTGTTTATACTGAGACTAGAGCCGTGGGATAGGTAAGTGGGGACTGTTGGTTGTTTGTTTGTTTATACTGAGACCAGAGCCGCGGGATAGGTAAGTGGGGACTGTTGGTTGTTTGTTTGTTTATACTGAGACCAGAGCCGTGGGATAGGTAAGTGGGGACTGCTGGTTGTTTGTTTGTTTATACTGAGACCAGAGCCGTGGGATAGGTAAGTGGGGACTGTTGGTTGTTTGTTTGTTTATACTGAGACCAGAGCCGTGGGATAGGTAAGTGGGGACTGTTGGTTGTTTGTTTGTTTATACTGAGACCAGAGCCGTGGGATAGGTAAGTGGGGACTGCTGGTTGTTTGTTTGTTTATACTGAGACCAGAGCCGTGGGATAGGTAAGTGGGGACTGCTGGTTGTTTGTTTGTTTATACTCAGACCAGAGCCGTGGGATAGGTAAGTGGGGACTGTTGGTTGTTTGTTTGTTTATACTGAGACCAGAGCCGTGGGATAGGTAAGTGGGGACTGTTGGTTGTTTGTTTGTTTATACTGAGACCAGAGCCGTGGGATAGGTAAGTGGGGACTGTTGGTTGTTTGTTTGTTTATACTGAGACCAGAGCCGTGGGATAGGTAAGTGGGGACTGCTGGTTGTTTGTTTGTTTATACTGAGACCAGAGCCGTGGGATAGGTAAGTGGGGACTGTTGGTTGTTTGTTTGTTTATACTGAGACCAGAGCCGCGGGATAGGTAAGTGGGGACTGTTGGTTGTTTGTTTGTTTATACTGAGACCAGAGCCGTGGGATAGGTAAGTGGGGACTGTTGGTTGTTTGTTTGTTTATACTGAGACCAGAGCCGCGGGATAGGTAAGTGGGGACTGTTGGTTGTTTGTTTGTTTATACTAAGACCAACAGGTTGACACAAAGAAAGAATCGGGGGTACTATCAGATGGAGACGTCATGGAGCTGCATGTTAGTTGAGTGACGTAAACAGAAGAAGCCTACAGTTGCCAATTTTCTTTGAAAGAAAACATTTAAAAAAAAAAAAAAAACCGATAGAAACAATATCTATAAATATCTAGATTGTACAGGTAAAACATTAAAAAACAAAAAAGTAATCAGTAACATAGCGTGAATGAGTGAATGAATCCATAATTGACATCACTGCACTAGGGACATTCTCATACGTGCTCCGACTCCTTCCTAAAAACTTCCTAACTTCACAATATTTAGGTACGTCCTTTACTGTCTGAAGTATTTTATTAACAGAAAAGAAAGAACTGTATTTCAATACATCTAAAGCGAACAGAAAAGCGGAAGGGAGGGTTATTTGTTTCGACCGGCAGACAGAACTTTTAAATTGTCCCAACTATGTGCACATATTGAAAAGTTTGCAAGACATGTAAACTTACAGTAAGACAAGGTCACTTATGCCACAAGCAGTCAGGCAACCGAAGGAAACTGACGGTCGAACAGGAAAGTTGAAGGGACGTTTAGATCGCCAGACGGGCAGGTATGAAATCGGCTTTTTTAATTTGTAAAATATCGCTAAGTCCATAGGATACAACGAGGCTTTTCTGACTTGTCCAGTACAAGTCATCAAGATGGTGGTTTGGAAGAAAAGGAAAACCGTCACTATTAGGAGAAATGGTTGGTAAGTTGGAAGCTGTGTAGTTAGTTAGTAAGCTAAGAAGGATAGGGAAAATAGCTGCCGAGAAAAGCCTTCAAGATGACTGCTAGGCAGAAAATTGTCAGACAGCCAATCAAACAGCTGATAAAATAGCCGCTAGGTAGTTAGTGACTTCAAGTGAAACAGAAAGTTTTCAAGATGGCTTCTAGTCATTGAAAGATATCATAGCTGCTGTGTCTGACTTGATGAGCACAATTTACCAAGATGGGATTGTTAAGAAAAAAGTCGCTTTGTAAAGAATCGTTGGTAAGTTGGGAGATGGTTAGTTAGTGAGTTGAGAAGAACAGTGAAAGTAGATGCCCAAAAAGGTTTTTTAAAACGGCTACTGTGCAGAAGACTGTCTTGGACCGAGAAACAAGCCGTTGGTAAAATGGCCGCTTGGTGGTTAATGACTTAAAGAGAAACAGAAAGTTTTCAAGATGACCTCTAGTCATTGAAAGATTTGCTAGCTGCTTGACAAGTTATCAAGATGGCGGTTATGAACAAGTAATATAAAAATGAATGCCACATGACAACCGGAAATAGTTGTCGAAAACAATGGTCGAGAAAGCAGTGGACGTGATAATGTCAGCTTTAAGCTATACGGAACAATGAGAAATCTCTGTTGAAAATGAAGTATTATTTGGGCGACTATACATAAAAGTATTCCGGATATTGTAGATCTAACTGTGGTCTGTGACCTGTGAAGGGTGGTCATGTAAAATACATCCAGGATAAGCAACTTACAAAAGGAACTAGTAGGACAAAAGAACCAGCGTCTAAAGCCTACCTGTAGAATTTTACAAGTCTTCACTGGGGTAGAGATTCATGAAGTGGTTAACTATTCCAGGGTGTAAAAGTAGTCAGGAAATAGGGTTTGTGAATGGTGGGCTATATTTCAACGGGAATTCAAAGTCCCATTTGATAGCCGTAGGCGGACACGGCAATGGACCCATTGCCATACATTTTTATTTTATTCCCTCTATTAAAATAAAAAAATAAATCCAACAAAGATGCAATAAACTAACTTAAGTTTTAGACCAAGTGGTACTAATTTTGAAATGCAAGCATATGAATATTGACATTAAACGAACACTGTTCAACACAATATTCTTACCAGCACTATGACATCAATGTCAAAATTGGACACTGTCTTCAGATGGCAGAATGAAAAAAGTCGAGACAGAAATACGTACTATGCTAGTTATAACGAGGAAAAATCGGTTCAGTAGCGATGATATCATGAGGAAAGTTGGCATAGAACCAATACTGAACTTTACAGATAGACAACAAATCAAAAAGTTTGGCCGTGCAACAAGATTAGCATCAGACAGGGGACCACAGAGAGCAAAGTCATACCTATACAACGGTAATAGAGCCAGAGGTTGACCATGCAGAAGATGGTCTGCAGAAATACCAGGGATATGAAAAGTATATTTTACGAAGCGAACAGAAGGGCCCGTTTCAGATATCTCTTTCTTTCCTGACGCCGCGAGGCATTCCAGGAGTAGAGAAAAGAAGAAGAAGAAGCAGAAAAAGAAGAAGAAGAAAAAGAAGAAGAAGAAGAAAAAGAAGAAGAAGAAGAAGAAGAAGAAGAAGAAGAAGAAGAAGAAGAAGAAGAAGAAGAAGAAGAAGAAGAAGAAGAAGAAGAAGAAGAAGAAGAAGAAGAAGAAGAAGAAGAAGAAGAAGAAGAAGAAGAAGAAGAAGAAGAAGAAGAAGAAGAAGAAGAAGAAGAAGAAGAAGAAGAAGAAGAAGAAGAAGAAGAAGAAGAAGCAGCAGCAGAAGCAGCAGAAGCAGCAGAAGCAGCAGCAGCAGCAGCAGAAGCAGCAGCAGAAGCAGAGGCAGAGGCGGAGGCGGAAGCGGAGGAAGAAGAAGAAGAAGAAGAAGAAGAAGAAGAAGAAGAAGAAGAAGAAGAAGAAGAAGAAGAAGAAGAAGAAGAAGAAGAAGAAGAAGAAGAGGAGGAAGAAGAAGAAGAAGAAGAAGAAGAAGAAGAAGAAGAAGAAGAAAAAGAAGAAGAAGAAGAAGAAGAAGAAGAAGAAGAAGAAGAAGAAGAAGAAGAAGAAGAAGAAGAAGAAGAAGAAGAAGAAAGAAGAAGAAGAAGAAGAAGAAGAAGAAGAAGAAGAAGAAGAAGAAGAAGAAGAAGAAGAAGAAGAAGAAGAAGAAGAAGAAGAAGAAGAAGAAGAAGAAGAAGAAGAAGAAGCTGAAAAGGAAGAAGAAGACGAGGAA